GCCCGGGAGCGCCTCCGCCTGCCCGCGCGGAAGTTGCGCTGCGCTGCGCCCGAGCGCCCGGCGCCTCCGGGGCGTGGGAAGCCCGAGCGCGGAGCCGCTGCCGCCGCCGCCGCCGCCGCCGCCGGGACTGTGGTTGCGCGAGGCGTCCGAGCGAGCGCGCCCGAGCACAGAGGCGGCTTCTGCCCGTGCCGAACGGCAGCTTCTCGCCCCGAGGCGCTTGCAAAGTGCAGTTGGCCGAGGGAGGCGAGGCGAGGCTCGTCCGGGCTCGCAGGTGGGGGGGCCCGGGGAGGAATTCGCGGGAAAGCAGCGGGACTCCGGCCACCCGGCGCCGTTCCCGGGCCTCGTCCTGCAGCCTCGCAGCGCCCCGCTCCCGAGCCCCGGAAATAGCACTCGCCCTCTCCGGGGCTTATCGTAGCCGGAGCAGCCGGCGCATAAATGCACGCATCTGAAGCACTCGCTCTTGCCGTTTTTTAAAAGAACAAAAGCCCACATGCTCGGGACACGCTGTTCTGCGGCTAATGCTGATTTCTGCATTCTGCCCGGAGACTCCAGCCTGTTTCTCGCAGGCCTTTCTGGCTCGAAACTTCCTCTCCGGGCGATTAGGGCCAGAGCCTGCCTCTTGCACCACGGACCGGAATCCGCCCTGTTGCTTCCCGCCTCAGGGGACAGATCAGCAGGGAAGGCAGAAGCCTCTGCTCGGGGTACTTTCTGCTTCCTTTCTGCCTCTTTGGAAATCGATATTCCAACTCAAAGCCAAAACCAGCATGAGGGAAAATGGGAGATGTTGCGTTTTCTTATATCAAACTTAAGTACGTGTATTTCAGCGAACTGGTTTACGCTCTCGCCCCTTTGCGTTGCCTCCGCAGCAGGAGACGCCGTTCGGAACCGTCATCCGCACCCTTCAGCACAGGCAGCGCAAACGCGGGTGTCCAGGATCGCTCCGGAGGCTTCCTCGGCCCTCTGCCCAGGGTCTCCTGCAGGCGGGCGCCCCGCTTACCAAGAGGGCTTGGGCCGCCCAGAGGGAGCGGAGGACTGGCTTGTGCAGAGCTGGTGTTCAGCTCCGGCCCGCCTCTTTCCAGTTCCCCGGGAGGTCCGCGTGCCAGCGGGCCCCTGGCCCCAATCCAGCAGAGCCCCCGAACTGCAGCGGACTTTCCGGCCCACGCGATGCTGCGGCCCACAGAAAGCGCCCTGCGCACTAGCGAGCCCTCGGCTGGGCAGCTGTGACCCACGGCGGGTGCCCCCGTGGATGAGCCGCCCTTGGGGGGCCCCGGGGCGGGGGGGAGGCCAGGTGTTGCTGGGGGGGGGAGCAGGAGAGCCTGTCGGCCTGGGGGAGGGTGGTGTGGTGCTGAGCTTTCCCCTGCTTGCGTCCTGAGCCCCGGCACACCAACGGGCTGCCTCTGCGGCCCCCGCTGCCCAGCTCTGCACACCAACAGGCTGCCCCACTTCAAAAGGCTGGTGTTTAATATCCTGTGCTCCCAGGAGCGTCCCTGCTGAAAGCTGCAATAGACGCAGCTCTGGAGAAAGCTCGGCTGGCTCTCCCTGGAAGACCCGTCCAGGCGGAGAATTGGCTTCCCGCGAAAGCTGCTCCGCCAGCTTTACTGGCAACAATTCCGTTTGGACCGAAAGCAAATGAAAGCACGTTTAATGTTTAATGCTGCTCCTGGGAGATGCCTCGGATCGTTTCAGGCATGCGGCGCAGACCAGGCCGGACTGGCTAGGCACACGAGGTTCGACTCGGGAGCAGGAGTTTATGGCGGAAGAGGTGCCGCTGCGGATTCAGGAAGGGCATCTGGAGAGCGCAGACGGGGGCAAATGATTCACCTGTGGAGTTTCTGCCTGTTGTCAGTGGTGGAGAGAGGGCACTGCTCCCAGCGGGAGGATCCCGACTCATTCCAGCATCCTACTTGCTCCAGAATGGGGTACAGAGTGCTTTTACATGGAAACCAGCATGAATCCGGTTTGCATGTGTGCACCGCCTTTCCGGAGAGCAGCCAAGGAAGCCCTCCGCTCGCACTGCCATCTCCTTGCCTCGAGATCCAGGCTCGCTTCTGATAATCCCGGATAAACCCGAGTCCGCCTGGTGCAGCCAGCCCGCCCTCTGGCGGCCGCAAGCGGCGACGACCGCGGGGAAAGGCCGCGCGTGAGAAGCGTGCCTGCAAACAACCGCATGCTGGGAACACTCGCGGGAAGTGAGCCCCACGCCTGCGCAAGGAGGCGCGTCTACTCGGATGTAAACCGCGCTGGCTTCCGTGGGACGGGAGCGGGCCGGGCGGCCAGGGGCGCGGGCGCCCCCCTCCGAGGAAGCGGCAGCGCCCGGGGCCCGCTCGCTCGCCCCCGGCCCCGGCCCCGGCCCCGGCCGCAAGGACAAAGCCGCGGCTCCCGCGCCGCCCCGGCATGCCCACGCGCTTTCGCGCGGATCGTTCCCTTGCTCGGGGACGGGCTGCCGGGCAAAAGAGTTCCCTGGGGAAACGCAGCTGCCACGAGAGGCTTCCCCCGCCGCTTCAGGCGTGCGCGCCTCGGCCCTTCTTGCGTGTTGAGTGGAACGTGGGAACGCACCAGCCTCGCCTCTCGCGCGCTTTCCCGCTTTTAAACTTTCGCTTTCTTCCGGGCGCTAAATTGCCCTAAAAATGAGCCCTTCCGATTCTGCTCGCGCCCACCCGGGCGCGGAGGGGCTTCCACGGCGGCGAGGCACGGACGGGGTTCGAACCCGTGATCTTCGGTTTACGAGACCGACGCCTTACCACTTGGCCACCGCGCCTGCGTTGAAAGCGGCGCCTCGCTCCCATCTAGGCTGGCGCCGCTCCCGAGGCGCGCGCGCGCCCGCCGAGGCGAGCGCGCGCCCGCTCCTCCCTCTTTCTTGGAGGGGGCGGGCCGAACTTCGGGCGGCGCGAGTGCGCAGGCGCCGCCACTGGATCCGCCGGGCAGCGGAGGGGGGCACGTAGCTGCGCCTGCCAGCGCGAAATCCATAGGAGGGGCAGCGGGGGCAGCACCGTCCCAAAATCCCGGGCTCTGGGACGCGGCAGCGGCTGCGCGAGAGCGCGGGACCCCCCTTCCCGCGGGGCTTTCCACAAGCGCGCTCCTGCCCGCATCCTCGCGGGCCGAGGTGGGCGCGCTTGCGCTCCAGCATCGCCCGGGGGTCCGTCTTTCTCCACCCACGCCGTGGCGGCGGACTACAGCTCCCAGCCTCCCCAGCCTCCCCAGCCAGGGAGCCGCTCTTCACGGGCTCTTGGAGAGGCGTGGCGGCGCAGAGCGGCTTGCGCCCGAGGCGGGCGGGCGGCGGCGGCGCCAGGAGCCCCCCGGGCGAGCGCGCGGCCCCGATCCCGGGGCAGGGCAGCGGCTCGGGCGGAGCCTGCAGGCGGACGGCCCCGCGCGGCCCGCCCCCCCGCCGGGAAGCGGCGCGGAGAGCGCGGGGGCCACGGCTGCCCGGCCAACTTCTTTAATCGCCTCGTCTCGCGCAGCGGACCACTTGGGGCACCCGGTTCCCATTCATCTCCATGATCCACTGGGGGAGCGCCCAGCAGACGGTCTTGACGGCGGAGCCCGCCTCGTCCAGGGGCATGCAGACGTAGCAGAAGGGGCGGGCCGGCCGCGCCCGGGGCTGGCGGCCGGGGCAGGCCTGACGCCGCACCGGTTGCTGGCTTTCCCGCCCGGCCTCCGGGCCAGGCTCCGCGCCGAGTTCACGCTGCGCCGCCCGCGGCCGCTGTGACTTGGCTTCCAGCCTCTTTTTCAGGAGCACGTTCAGTTTCTTTTTCGCCAGGTCCAGCTCCACGAAGAGGCTCGTGCGGGTGATGGAGGACTCTTTCTGCCAGATTCTGGCTTGCTTGCTCGCAGCTTTCCCCCGATCAGCTTCCGCTCTTTTCTCGGCAGAAGAAGGGGGCAGGAACATCCTTCCCAATCCCCCCAGCACCTCCTCTTGCAAGCGCCCAGCCTCCACCGGTTTTACACTTAGGGCGGCCCGTGCTCCTTCCTTAGCAGAAGGCGGCAGAATGACATGGTGCACCTTCCTGTCCGGTTCTGCCTGGCCAGGGCTTGCTCCTCCGTCCAAACCTCCATCGGCCTCTGCTCCTTCCTTAGAAGGCGGCAGAACCGGGTGGGACACCATCCCCTCCAGTTGCGCCTGGCCAGGGCTTGTTCCTCTCTCCGCCCCTCCATCGGCCTCTGCTCCTTCCTTAGCAGCAGGCAGCAGCATGGTGTAGCGCACCTTCCTCTCCGGTTCTGCCTGGCCAGGCCTCGTCCTCTCGGTGCTTCCATCAGGCCTGGCTTGCTTCTTGGCCGAAGACGGTAGGATCAAGTAGCGCACCTTCCCCTCCAGTTGCGCCTGGCCAGGGCTTGTTCCTCTCTCCGCCCCTCCATCGGTCCTTGCTCCTGTCTTAGTGGAGACCGGCAGGATAGCGCAGAGCACCTTCCTCTCCGGTTCCGCCTGATGGAGGCGCATTCTCCCGTCAGCACTTCCGTCGGCCCCGGCTCCTTTCTCAGCGGAGGGTGGCGGACTTGGGGGGCACAGCGTTCCCTCCGGCTCCGCCCGCCCAGCCTTCCCTTTTTCCTTTGCTC